TCAGGCCCACTCAGGCCCTGTTCATAGCTTCCTGCACTCTCAGGTGGGAAAGCGCTGGGCTGAAAATGGGCTTGCAAAAGATATTTGATTATTCTGAGTTCTTGCCTTGCAGGAGCTGAGGACCAGGATGGGGAGGGAGAAGGAGCCAAGACGGGTGAGTCTGAACTTGGAGCTGGAGGAGAGACATATGGGACAGGAGAGAGGACTCTAGGAGCTGGAGGGGCCAGATTTCCTATAAGGTTTGAATGAAGTGTGTCCTCTGGACTGAGGCGTCCCCGCCCTGGTGCGTCTGCTCTTTGCCCAGAGTTGGGCAGGAGGTGGATCGCCCAGCTCCCCCCGACCAAGTGTTGCTTCATTTCTCCTGCCAGCCTTTATCCATCTGCCAGGGCCTATGACACCTTGCAGGCCCCACACTGAAGAGTCTGGTGGCTTCCTAGGGTGGGAGCAGGGGCTCGGGAGATAAGGCAGTCTGGGTTTAAATTCCAGCTCCATCTCATTAAACAGAGTGGCCTTGAGCAAGATGCTTTCCCTCTCTGGCTTCAGCTTCCTCACACGTAAAATGGGCATAATCACAGGTTCATAGGTTGTTTGAATTATCAATTAATTTAATTAACTGAGATAATGTATATAAAGGACCTAGTACTATACCTAGTGCCAAGTGCTTAATATGCGGAGACCTATTACTCTTAGGCAAACAGCTTAAGACCATCCTGTTCTAGCTACAGGCTGTGTGGCTTTGGGTAAGGTGCCTTGCTTCTCTGGGCGTCAGTTTCCCATCTGTAAAATGTCATCCTGACCCTGCCCTGATGGCAGCAGAGGGCTGTTTTGAAGCTCTCTCAGGTGACTGGGGAGGGAGGTACTTGCAAAGGGCATGGGGGCATGGCACAGTAAGCCAGGGCCCAGCTTGGGTGGATGCCAACGCACTGGTGCCCATGGCCACTGGAGGCTGACTTCCAGGGGATCCTGGGCTGGGAGAGGCAGGTTCCCGCTGAGCCATTTGGGATGGTTCCAGTTAATGCCAATTCCTTCCCCTCCCCCGCAGAAGGAAGGGCAGGAGATTGACACTTGGGGACTGCTATAAATGATGCCAATTAATTCTTTGCCTGTTGGTGCCCAGTGTGGCAGGCATAGAGACAGCTCTGGGATCAGACCTTATTTTTCATGCTCAGAGGCAGATGTAGTTGGCAGAAAGGAGGGAGTGGGGAGAAGAGTGTGGGTTAGGGAGCTGGCTAGTCTCATTCCACCTGGTCCCAGGCCCACCTGCGAATCTGCCAGCCTCCTTTAGTTTCTCACTTCACCCTGTGTGTAGAGTGGGCGCAGGGCACTTCCGCATCTCCAGCTGGAGAGCGAGGGCTGGAGGGTTATCCTATTCTATAGATGCAGAAAACTAAGGCCCAGAGAGGAGAGTGACAAGCCACAGAGTGGAGCTGGGACCTGGGACTGTGGCTTGGAATAGCAGCCTGGGGCCCTTTGCCTTGTGCTGTGATGTGGTCCCACTCTGCCAACTTCTCACACCCTTTCCAGCCCTCACTCCTCCCTCTGCCTGACTCCCTGTCCCACCACTTCCCACGGTTCCTCCCTCACTGTGTGCTCCTTCCTTTTTTTACAGCCCTGCAGCCTCTGAAACACTCTGAAAGCAAAGAAGGTAAAGACACCTGGGCTTGAGATTGTGTGTGCATGCATCTGTGTGTGAGAGGCTGGGAGGGTGGGTCGGGGTAGGCGTCATCCTTTCACTGGTGACTTGAGGCCCCCTCTGCAGAAGAGCAGCCTCGACTTCCCCCTAGTGAGATGGCAGAGGGCTGAGTGACCAAGGTCCCAGCTGCTCTAATGGGACCCAAATATGACAGAGGCTTAACCAGGACAGGAGTTTATTTCTCCTTCCTGTGATAGTGTGAGCGGCGGTAACCTTAAAACCACTAATGAGCTGGAGCCAGGTTCCACTTACCTGGAATCTGCCCTCTTCAACTTCAAGCTTTCGCTCCTAGCTCTAAGAGGCTGCTGCAGCCCCAACGCCCCCTCCAGAGCCAAGGGAGAGAGAAGGGGAGGATACCTTTCCTTCTAGAGCAAGGCTGGAAGTAGGCTGCCTCACTTCTGCTTACATACCATTGTTAGAACCCAGGCATATGAGCCGTAACTCAGGGGAGGCTAGAAAAGTGTTCAGCTGGGCAGCCATGTCCCTGGTGCACAGTAGGTGGTTAGTAAATGTCTATAGTCATTATTAGGCCTATTGTTGTAATGTCAGTGGTTACACCTGGAAATGTAGGAGGTCAGTCATTTCCTTCCTGTTGTTCAGAATCGAATGACCATAGAAGAGTTGGGCAGATGGAGATTAAAAATGTCAGCTTGGGCCAGGTGTGGTGGCTCACGCCTGTAATCCCAGCACTTTGGGAGGCCGAGGTGAGCGGATCACTTGAGGTCAGGAGTTCGAAACCAGACTGGCTAACATCGTGAAACTCCATCTCTACTAAAAATAAAAAAATTAGCTAGGTGTGGTGGAGTGCGCCTGTAATCCCAGCTACTTGGGAGGCTGAGGTGGAAGTATTGCTTGAACCTGGGAGGCGGAGGTTGCAGTGAACTGAGATTGTGCTACTGCACTCCAGCCTGGGTGACTGAGCGAGACTCCATCTCAAAAAAAAAAAAATATATATCAGCTTGGGCGTTTGAAGCGTTGCTGGAGAATGTGGCCTGGATGGGCAAAGCAGTCAGCTTCCTAATCCTGCTGCTCCTCACTGAGGTAGCCTACCCCACCCCCAGTCTCTGGCCACGCTGGACAACCAACAGAAGCAGCACCCAGATGGGGGAGCTCCTCTTCCCAGGGACAGAGTCCTAAGAATGGACAAGGGCAAGGGCAGGGGCAGGGCCTTCTCTATTCAGCTCCGGATGCAGAGTGGGGTCTGGAATGTGAGTCTTTGGGGTGCCTCTCTACATGGAGACAGGAAGCCCGAGGGAAGGAGGAAGGCCCCTGTGGCATCACTCTCAGGGGAATTAGTGTGGAGGGGACACTGGGAAGGCTGCCTGCTGGAGGAGGCAATTGGGCCCGGCCTTGTAGGGTGGGACAGACAGGAGATGAGAAGGGAAAAGTGAGGGAAAGTGGAGGGAAGTGTGGAGGGCGATGGGCCTGTGGGGACTGAGTGGGGGCTGCATGAGGTGGTCTCCCTCAGGTGCCCCGGCAGGCCTGGCACCTGCATCTGTCTCTGGGCCTTGAGGCCAGTGGTCAGCATGGGGGGTGTTCGCTGGGCTGCTGTCTCACACACACTTCCCACTTGAAGTGTGACCAGGTACCCGGGTTTCTGACATCATCCCCAAAATAGAACTTCTGGCATCTAATGCTTTTCCCCCACTCTTTTTCTTCCCATCATGAAATGAAGATGATGGACAAGAAATAGCCTGACCATGAGGACCAGGGAGCTGCTGCCCCTCCCTGTGGCTCCTACCCTCTGGCTGCAATGGAGCTGCACTATGAGCCCCGCCCCCAACAGACGTGTCCCGCTCTGACAGGTGGGCTCCTTCTCCAAAGGATGCGATACGCAGACCACCGTGCAGCCTATTTCTCCAATGGACATGATTCCCAAGTCATCCTGCTGCCTTATTTCTTAATAGACACAATACACAGACCACCCCACAACGTTATTTCTCTAAGTCATCCTGCCTGCTGCCTTATTTCACAGCACATGCATTTCCTAGGGACACAGTACCCTGACCACATCACCACCCACTTCTTCCAGTGCTGCGTGGACCATCTGGCTGCCTTTTTTCTCCAAAAGATGCAATATTCAGACTGACTGACCCCCTGCCTTATTTCACCAAAGACGCGACACATAGTCACCCCGGCCTTGTTCCCCCAATGAGACTGATACACTAGTTACCACGTTCAGCCCGGCTTCCACCTGCATAGAATCTTGTCTTCTCAGATGGGGACAGTGCAGCCTCCGCATCTCCTGGAGTCTAGAAGCTGTTTCCTCTCTCCTCCTTCCTCCTCTTGCTCTGGCCCCAGTATCGACCTTTTCCCTCCCTGCCCCAAGTGAAGACAGGGTACTCTTCGCCCACCACACGCACAGGTACGCAGAGAGACCTGCAGGTGCACGTGCTGGAACACGTGTGGTTCCCCCCGACCCTGGCCCAGCCTCCTCTGCAGCGCCCCTTCTCCTGCCCACCCTCCCCGCAGAAGCACGTGCTGTTCTCCAGGGATCTGTGATGGGGCCCCTGGCGGTCACCTTCTGTCCCTCTGCCTTTCCACCTCTTGGTTCCCTTACTTTCATTTATCCATTCAGTTAATGTTTATTGAGCAACTACAGATGTCAGTACTGTGTTAGGTGCTGGGGGTCCTGCGTGGGAAGGTCAGTTCCTCCCTCAAGGACTCCCCATCCAGCTAGGAGACAGACAGCCAGCTACACTCCCCTTGCAGTTCTCGGTGGGGCTCCTGCCTCGCTCCCTGCTCTACCACTCCCTTGTGCTCAAGGCTTTCTGGATACTTCACCCCCATCCCATCCCTAATTCTTACCCAGAGCATGGGGTGGGGGCAGAAACCTGGAGAAGGGACATAGCCCCTTGCACGGCCAGAGAATCTGGTGGGTGTCCAAAGTGTCTGCCTAGGCATGGGCAAGTGGGCAGACACCAAGGTCCCCAGACCTCGCATAGCAGCAGCAGGGGCGGAGCCTGGGGCAGAGTAAAGCCAGGAGTGCTTTGGGGACACAGAGGGGACTGCCCCCCACCCCCACCATGGTGCTATTCTGGGGCCGGGCAGGCTCTTCCTGGCTTAACTCTGGCCAGCTCCAGGCCTCTGGTGGAGTGAGACTTCAGACGTTCTGATGCCTTCCGGATGTCATCTCTCCCTGCCCCAGGAATAGAAGATGTGAGGACTTCTAATTTAAATGTGGGACTCAGAGGGGTTTTGTAAACCGGGGGTATATTTTGGGGAAAATAAATGTCTTTGTAAAAAGCTTTTTCTCTGTGAAGTGTTTGGAAGCAGGGTGGGCCCCAGGACTCAGCCAGAGGATTCCCTCCAGGATGTTGCAGGCTGGGATAGGGAAGCTTGGTCCTCCTTATCTCATTGTCCTTAAATCACTGGATCTCCAGGACCATTTGGCTCCCTCTCTGGCCTCAGCTTCCCTCTGGGTAAAGTGAAGTAGGTTCTCCAGAAAGCCAGGCCCTTTGGTCACTGTATGGGGCTTCTCTCACTGGAAGCATCACCCAATTTCTTTGCCTCAGAAAACTCAAGCTTAGGCTTGTTAGTGCTCTGCTAGTGTCTCCACTTTAGAGACAGGGAAGAGACCCAGTAAGAAGCTGGCACCAGGACAAGAGTTCTGAATGCTGTTTCTGGCTGACTGCATTGGATGGGCACCAGGACAGGGATCAGAGGGCCATTCCCAGGTCATAGTTCTGGCCTGTGACCCTGAGCAGGACATTTACCTCCTGTGGCCCTTGGCTTTCTCGTACAAAAAATAGCCACCTATGCACGGTGGCTCATGCCTGTAATCCCAACACTTTGGGAGGCTGAGTTGGGAGGATCGCTTAAGGCCAGGATTTCAAGACTAGCCCAGGCAACATAGCATAAAAGTGAAAAAATAGCAAGGAAATAAAAAAAATTAGTCAGGTGTGGTGGCACACACCTGTAGTCCTAGTTACTCAGGAGGCTGAAGTGTGAGGATCGCTTGATCCTCAGTCCAGGAGGTCGAAGTTGCAGTGAGCTTTCATTGTCCTGCTGTACTCCAGCCTGGGCAACAAAGCAGGACTCTGTCTCTAAAGGAAAAAAAAAAAAAAAAAAAGAAAAATAGGGCTGAGGTTTTAACCACCTTCTACTTTGAAAGACTGAGAGGAGGCACAAGGCTTCCGGAGAGCCAGATTCTAGCCTGTGGGAGCCTGTCTAGGGTACTGCATTTGTCTGGCCCTGGAGGACAGGAGTCTCAGCACTGGGACAGCCTGGAGCTTCACAGACCCTGTAGCAGGAGGAGCCTGTGCTGGGGGTCAGGACACTTGACTTTCAACCTTGACTCTCAATCTGGCTTTGCTACTAATCTGTGTCCTTGTCCTTCATACCTCTGAGCCTTACTTTCCTTATCTATTAAATAGGGGTAACAAGTCATTGTCCAAAAAGTATGTGGCACTCTTTACAAACTAGAGGATTTGTTGTCAAGTTGATGGCCCTAGGGGTGAGATCAGTCATGTTGCTTAAAGTTCTGTCATTGGCGCTGTGGGTGGGTATTAGGATGGAAAGACTTCATTGTTTGCCCCTCAATCCCACTGTACACCCTTGAGCTGTGGCTTTACCACACTGGGCTTCAGTCGCTACCTGTAATGTAGAGACAGTAATAGTTCCTGTTTCAAAGCATTGTTGAGAGGGTTGGACGAAGCAGTGATTGAGAAGACACTGCAATTAGGCTGGGTGTCATGGCTCACGCCTGTAATCCCAACATTTTGGGAGGTTGAGGTGGGTGGATCACCTGAGGTCAGGAGTTTGAGACCAGCCTGGCCAACATGGTGAAACCCCATCTCTACTAAGAATGTAAAAAAATTAGCTGAGTGTGGTGTCACACGCCTGTAGTCCCAGCTACTCAGGGGGCTGAGACAGGAGAATCATTTGAGCCGGGGAGGCAGTGGTTGCAGTGAGCTGGGATTGTGTCACTGCACTCCAGCTTGGGTGACAGAGCAAGACTCCATCTCAAAAATAAATAAATAAAAATAAAAAGACACTGCAAACCACGAGGTGCTGGGCACATGCGAGGGGTTGTTCTTGCCCTCCCTGCAGCCAGGCCCATGCACCGTTGCTCCCTAGGTGATTTTGCAGATTGAACACAGTGATTTGGAACAAGCTGTCTGAACCCCAGTTTGTCCATCTGTAAAACAGGCACAGGAACCCGTGCTTGTGTGTGTGTGTGTGTGTGTGTGTGTGTGTGTGTGTGTGTGTGTGACAGGGCTGGAAAAGGGTCTGACACTGTATCAGGTGCTCCATGGATCAACCCAGCAAGTGGGGGACTTGCCTGGAGGCTGAGGGGTAAAGAAAGTGGCAACTAAGTCCTCCGGTGAAAAGTGCCCTGGACAGCAGTATTTTTAGCCGCCCTTCCTGGGCAAAGCTCCAACTCCTGCATTTTAATGGAGAAATAATTCTCACAGTGCGACAAGCTGTAGTCTGCAGGTGTCACATCCATATTAAAGAGGGGACAGAGTGAGGTTCATTTGCCTGGCTGGAGGTGTGACCAGAATTCGCCTCCAGGACCATTTGTCATCAGGGCTTGAAGACCAATTAGTGGATCTGACCACTCACCACCCAGAGGGAGGAGACTGGAAGGAGGGGTGACAATGGTGTGGCCAGGGCACCTGGATCATCCTGCACCTTCTACTTGTGTGTCTGGAGCATTCTGCTTACACTAGCAGAGCCTGGCAGCTGGCGGAGTCTGGGCTGGGGGTCAGGACGCTTGACTTTCAATCCTGGCTGTGCTGCTAGACTGGCCTCCTTCTAGGCTGTTGTATCCAGTCTTACACATTTACAAAAATATCATAATCAAACATTCTGCAACCTTTTTTTTTTTTCTGTTTTTCTTTACTCTTTTCCCAAGTCAGTTCTTCTAGAGTGCCCTCATCGTCTTTACTTTCTATATTGATGTGTAACATACCTCTAGTATTTACAAGATGCTAATCCTCAGTGTATGACTCCAAGAATTTTTACACAAATCTCTACCCATATAACCACTACCCAGATCAAGATACGGAACAGCTTCTGGATTCCAGAAAGTTCCCTGGTAACCCTACCCAAGCAACAGCCCCGCCTACTTGACTGCTTTCACCAATTAGTTTTACTTATTCTTTGAACTTCCTATAAATGGAATCCTGCAGTCCATGCTATTTTGTATCCAGCTTCTTGCAAAGACCTCCCTTGTTCTTTTTAAATGGCTACATAGTATCTCATAGTACTGCTGTTCCAGACTATATTTTGCTAGTTCCTACAGTTTAGACACAAATAACACAGATTTGTGCTGAGTTTCTACTGTATGGAGCCCTAGAAGTGGGATCTCTGGATACATTTTAAGTGTTGGGAGAGTTGCCAATTGTTTCCGCTGCCTTTTTAGCCAGTCCCTGTGACAGTAAGAATGTATAAGTGAAGAAAACTTATGGTGAGTGGAAAAACTGATTCTAGACAGGGCCGAGATAGTGCTTGGATTCACACCCAGCGGGGCTCTCGGAGACCTCGGAGTGGAGCCTGATTCGGTAGTGCACAGGGCCTGGAGTCATCCCTTCCACCGCTCTGGACCACCTTGCCCTTCAGCATCTGTCTGTCACCACCACTGCCTCAGTTCCCAGGAGCTGTCTGCATCTCGGTACTCCAGTCCTGGGCCAGTGTGTCTGCCTCCTGCAGGACTATAGGGGCCCAGCACTGTGGTCTGAATGAATTGGTGTCAGGGTTGAGCACTACACCCAGAGCACCTGACCGAAATTGATGGGGGAAGGTTCTCAGCATCTTTGGGGTTTTTCTTTTTTCTGTTTTATTTCCCTCCCTCCCTCCCTCCCTTCCTTCCTTCCTTTTTCTTTCTTTCTCTTTCTTTTCTTTCTTTCTTTTCTTTCATTCTTTCTTTTCTTTCTTTTTCTTTTTCTTTCTTTCTTTCTCTTTCTTTCTTTCTTTCCTTCTTTCTTTCTTTTTCTTTCTTCTTTCTTTCTTTCCTTCTTTCATCTTTCTCCCTCTTTTTCTTTCTTCTTCTTTTTTTTTTTGAAATGGAATCTCACTCTGTCACCCAGGCTGTAGCGCAGTGGTGCAATCTCAGCTCACTGCAACCTCCACCTCCTGGGTTCAAGTGATTCTTCTCCCTCAGCCTCCCGAGTAGCTGGGACCACAGGTATGGAGGCCTCCACACCCGGCTAGTTTTTCTATTTTTAGTAAAGATCGGGTTTCACCATATTGGCCAGGCTGGTCTCAAACTCCTGACCTCGTGACCTGCCTACCTCAACCTCCCAAAGTGCTGGGATTACATGCGTGAGCTACCACACCCAGCTTCTGTTTTCTTTCTTTTAAAGAGGGTCTCACTGTGTTGCTGAGGCTGGAGTGCAGTGGTACAGTTATAGCTCACTGCAGCCTTGACTTCCCGAGCTTGTGATTCTCCTGCCTCCGTCTCCTGAGTCACGGGGACTACAGATGCCCACCATTACACCTGACTAATTTTAAATTTTTTTGCAGAGATGGAGTCTTGCTATGTTGCCTGGGCTGGTCTCAAACTCCTGGGTTCAATCAATCCTCCTGCCTCGGCCTCCCAAAATGCTGAGATTACAGGGGGCGCCAGCCACTGTGCCTGGCCGGCAACCTGCTGGATGCAGGTGCCTCAGGTGAGGCTAAATCTCTTGCACTTGTGTCAGAGAGCATTCCTAACCTTCAGCATTGCCAACTCCAGGTAATTATGGTGACACTACTTCATTACTAATGAGGCAGCACTCCGTTAGAACAGAATAACCTGGATCTCATAGACGAGGCATAACCCGGCCCTCAGACACAGGGTCTGTGACCTTGCCCCCAGCCTTTCTCCACCATCCAAGTAGCAAAATATCCTCTGCCCCTCAGCCTCCCTTAGCTTATATGATTTCTCCATCCCAACGGCCTCCTCTGGATGTGTTTCATCGGCGTCCCTTGCAGATGGAGCCTCTGGCATGGATCACGATGCTTCAGCTCATGATAGATCAGCTCTCACCTCCCGTATCCAGGGCACTATGTTCCTAGTGATACAGCTCCAGATCCCATTAGTCCAGCGGCTCTCAATCCTGGCTGCCCATTAGAATCACTTTGGGAGTTCTAAATGGTGCTTGGGCTCCATCCCCAGAATTTCTGATGGAATTGGTTGAGTTTATTGCTAAATATTTGATGTGCCTATGCCAGTGGCCCTAGTCTGGCTTATAAATTAACCTAAAATAGGATTCAGAGGACAGCCCTGAGCAGAGACCTTTGGGACCCCACCTCTTAGGTAAG